AATTATGTTCAGAGAGTCAAATGTTGACAAATGCTCTATTATAGAGACTATTGAAAATTCTGCATAGAATTATTGTCTTGTTTGATAGACAACCACTCAAGATCAATTTACATTCCTATGACTCTATAATTTATGCATAAGAAGATTTATAAATAATTCCATAAGCTTATATTCAAAACAAAAAAAGTCTTTCATTCACTGAATCTTCTTAATCAAGATCTTTTTCTTTTTTCCTCTTCTAACTCATAAAATATTCCATTTACATAAATAAAATTTTCAAGCATTCAATGCAATTAAAAATATTATTTATATAGATGAGTAGTTCATCAGTATCAAAAGTGGCAATCAAATATGAAGTACTATTTGTTTTTGAAGTACTTTTTACATGAAGCAATCGTTTCTTCTTCTCTATCTCTTATTAGTGTATCAGAAATCAAATAGAATAGAAAAACTATAAAATTGTCCTAGCAAAAAAGAAAACCACAAACAGACCATACATTTAATCTCCGAACGAAAATAATCATTAGCAGTTGAAAGAAATTGTTGAGCAATTTTTTCAGATGAATCATCTGGTTGTTGTGAATTAGATGAAGTTGATGATGCCATGATATATCTATAAGATATTTAAATATTTCTTATCATCTTGATTTATTTTTGTCTTTTTTGTATTAATCACAATAAATAAGAGAATATAATTCAAATAAGACGGGTATTTAAAAGAAGGCAATCTATGCATTACAAGTGCAAAACAAAAAAAATAAATTAATAAATGACAATAGGGACGAAAAACGACAACATATATCTGAATATATTTCGAGAATCGGATTTACACGACAAACAAGCTTGTATTCTTTTAATCAGCAGTAGGATTATTCGTTGTTGATGCAGATGTTGATAGAACCTTTTTATTTGTTCGTTCGAACATTTCACGTTCATATTCTCGAACTTGATTCATAGTCATACCATACCTTACAAAATAAAAAGAATATATATTATCGAATTAATTGATAAAATTAAATCATTACCATTCATCCATCCATGTAAATGCTTGTCGATGTGCAAGTATAAGAATATCACGTACAGCCTAAAGGAATATAGAAATATATATATATATATATATATATATATATCTTAAAAATGTGAATAAATAACTTACACGTTGAGTAAAATCTTCAACACGTGTTTGAAATCCCCAAACTTCAAAACGTACTCGAATGGTTTTATATGCACACATAATTGGTTTCGTATATTCCTAAAAATCATTCATTTTATATTTTGAGA